TATATAATATTTTTTTAAAATTTAAAATTTCATTCTTTGATTTATTTTTTTAAATTTAAATTTTATTTTATATTTCTTTTATTTTATAGTATAACGTTTTCAATTTTTTAAAGATAATTTTAATCGAGTCTTTAAATTTTAAGTTTCGTAATTAAGAAAACCGACAAATTAAAATGATACCGAAAGGGCAGTTCAAGGGTGCTAATCCTTCATTGACTATAATAGACTCTCGAATCCGACATATTTCTGGTAAAATGCAGATAAGATAAAATGGTGTCCGATTAACCTAATTATTTTTTAAATGATCGGTGACGACTCTAACTTATTTTATTTAAGTCGAAGTCCAATTTCAGATCTACCCGAAAGATGGCCACGACAGATACCACAAGAAGTAATTGATACAAAGAAACGAGAGATAGTGGCGAAAGCTGGAAGCCTTTTCCTCCTATGAATATACCTTTGGTCAGTTCAGATGTGAAGAGGAAATGTTTTGGGTAAAATAATCTGCCTCCGTGAAGAGGCTATTTGACATAACTGACACCAATTTTCTTTAATATTTCTTTCTGACACCGTTTGATCAATATTTCCCGAAGTAGCACCCTTTCTGCTGAGTTGGCAAAGGCGCGTCCCCAGGGACGCGCTTTACCCGTGTTTTCGCTGAGTTGGATGCCACGTGTGGAAGGCGCATCCCCGGGGACGCGCCTTTCGCCAGCTCGACTGCCACGTGTGGAAAGCGCATCCCCGGGGACGCGCCTTCCATTAAATGACATAAATGCCCCCATCCATTTTTCCTTACTACCCCTCCTCCTCCCCTATATAAACCCCCTCAACCCTCCCTCATTCTTCACACCAAAATCATATTCTCCTCTCTTATATAACTCAAATTCTCCAACTATTTGAGTTTTAAATTTGTTATTAGTGGTAAGAAATTTATTTTTATGTTAGTATTTTTTTAAATAGTTATTATTTTTATATTAATATATTTATGTAAATATTATTTTTTTATTAAAATTATATTTATATAATTATTATTTATTTAGAATTATTAATTTTTTTTTGCTAATTATATTGTTTTGTCTACAGTTATAATGGAAAATGAAATGTCCAGCTCTGTTATCATCATATAACCGTTAACTCTTATGTAATTAATATTGTATTTAAATGGATGTTTTTGTTTCTAATAATTTAATGTTATTGCATTTATATAATTTGTCAATGTATGTACACCTAAATAATTTTTTTAACTTTTAAATACATACATATATTTAATATATTTATTTAATATAATAATTAATATTATTAGTTATATTTTTTTTTAAAATATAATAATAATTCCACCTTCTAAGTAGAGAAAAATATTAAATTAAACAATTTAAAAGTTATTAAAAAATTTATGTATACGATGACACATTTCATGTTCTGATTGGAGGATTAAATTTATTAAATTAAATTTTCAATAAGACTAATTTTATAAAATATGTAAGTCTTAAAGATTAAATATGTAATTATACTAATTTATTAACTTATGCATCAATATTTTCGTTAAATATTGATATGAGATGACTAGATTGATAACATTTAAATAATTAACTGATAAAATTAATAGATCGATAATCAAAATCAAAAATAATAATATAACCATATGTGTAATATTATAATTTCATACATTTTTCCTATAACTACAATAAAGTCAAAACTGGTTTTCATATATTATTATATCATATTAATGTAGATAATTCATTCCACCTTTAACACACATTAACAAAATACATTTGATAATTCTTACATTATAATCGAAACATTTTACATAATATATTATTAATTTATAATAATAATAAAAATAAAATATTTATTATTAAACAAAATACGTGGCAGTCGAGCTGGCGAAAGGCGCGTCCCCGGGGATGCGCCTTCCACACGTGGCATCCAACTCAGCGAAAACACGGGTAAAGCGCGTCCCCGGGGATGCGCCTTTGCCAACTCAGCTGAAAGGGTGCTACTTCGGGAAATATTGATCAAACAGTGTCAGAAAGGGAATAGTAAAGAAAATTGGTGTCAGTTATGTCAAATCCCCCCGTGAAGAAGAATAACATCATCATAAACGCTCAGCAGAGTTCAGAAAAGGCGTTTTTTTTAATTTTCAATAATTTATAATTTATCATTTTATAGTTTCTGTTGTATTTTTATTTTTTATTTTTAATATTGTTTTCAATAATTTAATTTTTTTGGGTATTTTTATATTTAACATTTTGAATATTTTTAAATTTAAAATTTAAAATATTTTTATTTTTGTAAAATATCGAATAAGCTTTGAATTTAAAGAAAATAAATTTAGCCCTTCAACTCAAAAAAAATTTAGCTCATCTAACACGTTATCAGCCACATCATCATCATTGTGTACTATCATGTCAGTATCGTAACAATCAATGACAGAACTCATGGATCAAAGGGTCACATTGTATTTTTCTGAGTTTGAGGTTCCGTTGTGTGAAAAAATAATTCGAGGGTCACATTAATTCTTTTGAAAAAGTTTGATTTCCTCACATATTATTATTGCCAAAAAATATAATAATTTATATTTTTTTATTAATCTACGGTGATTACAATTGATAGTATTTTTTAAAATACTCTCAACCATAGAAAAATAAACGGTCAAATACATTTTACTATCGCTGGTGCTCTAACCTGAAACCTCTAAGAATAAACTTCATTCATTTAACCACCGAGATCGTTTGTTTCATACTACTAATTTTATATTTAATTTTAAGGAAACATGTTCAATCATTTGAAATTTATCAAAAAATTAAAAAGATGGTGTTATTTTAATAAATAATCATAGATAAATGTCATCTTAATATTTAATTTCGAAGACATTATATATTTAAATAAATTAACCCTAAATTTATTTTTTAAATATAACATTTCTTCTCATTTTTTAATTTCATATAAGGTATAAGATAAAAAAAATATTCGTTTGTTTAAATAGTTATTTTGCCCATATATATTTTTAGAGTATTTTTGTCTCCAACATTTTATTTTATACTAAAAAAGTCCCTAGCATTTGACTAAATAATCACTTTAGTCTTTATTTTTTTGGAGTATTTGGACTCTTAATATTTCATTTTAGGACAAAATGTCTCATATTTTAGATCATTTATTAACTATCCATTTCCATCCATAAATGAACAATTTTGTCCCAAGATAAAATGTTCATAATCAAAATATTCTAGACAGAAAATAAAATAAAATAAATTATTTAATCAACATTAGAAACATTTTTATACCTTCATACAAACCTTTAAATTAAAAAAAAAGATAGCTACTCCCTTGAACAAGATGTAGCATGTATGAAAATTTTATAGGTCACACTGAAACACATCATTAATGCGACACACCAAAGCATACCATTAGCTAAATTAAAATAGAGTAAAATTCCAAATAATCATTAAACTATGTCATTCAACATTTTAAAAGTTATAAATAAGCATTAAACTTTAGATTTGGTTAAAAATATAAGCATGGATCATTAACTATCATTAAGAGATGATGTGACATTTTAAGTTAATAAAATATATCTTTTTTGGTCCCTCAATTATGACTAAAATTTTATTTTGGTATTTTCCTATGTTTTTAAGTGAAAATTTCAAAAATTATATATTTTTTTTCAATAAATATATAATTAAACTAAAGTTAAATAATTGAATCACTTTGCTTAATAAAAAATTGACTTCACTTGTTGATAATTGAAATTGTTAGATCTCGAAAATTATAAATTTTATAAATTTAATCACATCTAGATAAAAAATTATTTACAAAACAATTTGATGAAATAACAAAACAAAAAAATTAACTTCGCTGGTTGATAATTGAAATTGTTAAAACTCAAAAATTATATAATTATAAATTTTATAAATTTAATCATAGCTAAATAAAAAATTATTTATAAATTGATAAATTTTAAAAAATATGTTATAATTTTAAAAATAAATTATGAATTCCTATTTTTTAAACTTTTGAGAATTATTACTTAAAAATTGAAAATTTATCAAAAACAAAATTTTATTTATAATTGTGGGTACAAATAAATTATTTATTAATTTAATATGTCATTTCACTCTTTTAACAACAGTTAAAGATGTTGTATCAACTCCATAAAAAAATTAAAGTTTAATATTCATTATATAACTCTTGAAAGTTTAATATTCAAAAATATTATTTTAACATAATTTTGTGACTATTTAAAAATTTTATCCTATGAAATTAGTGAAATAATTATGGAATGGTCTTTGAGTTTTCTATTATTTATTTTATAAAAATAATTTAATTAATAATACATTTAAAATTGGTTCCAAGTAGGGGAGCTGGCTATAGTTATCTCAATAAATTTGTTCTTATAACCAAGTCATTCTGTAGACACTCATTTTCATCCATATTTTTATTTTTATTTTATACATATATATCTATATCTATATATATATAATATAGTTTTTAAAACCCCATTTTTGAAATACATATAATATATAGTTTTTAAAAATAATTTTTTGAAATTATATATTATATGATTTTAAAACATTTATTTACTTGTTATTATTATTAATATTTTTATTTTATTTTTATTTTTTGTAGGCACCATACACTACCCACCATTATCTCCACCACTTTTACCACAAATCACGTGGGTTTTGTTTTTCATGGGAGTTGTGGACCACTCCTCCCTCAAGCTCATTTCTCTCCACTTTCAAATGACTTTTAGCATTTGTTTTTAATTTAAAAGGGGACCTGCACGAAGGAAAAAGGAGGAGGGGGGATTGAATTCCTCTCATCTCAACTCACGCCATTTCAAGATTATTGGGGGAAGGGATACATGCACTTCTTCCTCAATTTCTTTTTCACTTAATTTCTTTGCTCAAACCCACTTCCAATCACAAAAAAACAAGAACCCACTATCACCATCTCTGGATTTCTTTCAGGCACCAAACTACGCATTGCTCCTTTTCCTCGGGGAATATAAAGAGATGGGTAGCCAAGCCCTTGCAACTAATGATCGTACGAGGACATACTGGACACCCGTTTCTGATCGATTGTCAACCTCCTCACCGAGTGGTGGTTCCCCCTTCGCAACTGTTTTTCAAGTCAATGGCAACACTCTCTCGCTTGCCCTCTTCACCGACGCCACCAATTCCAAGGAACTCCTGGACTCTATGCAAGCTGGGACACTAAATCATGAAGTAGCATTTCTTAATGCATCACTTATTCCAGATGTTTTTCCTGTTCTAGCTGCTACACATAAGACGCTTATTTCCAAGTCGCGCGAGTCATTGACTACACGAACTCTTCATTCCAACTCGATTTAACGCTTCTTCTGATGAGATGAAAGCCGTGGAGAAGCTTATCGGTGGAAAAGAGGAGATAAAAAATCATATTATGAGGCAGAAAGTTTTGCTGCGAGAATTGATGGCTTTGATCCATACCAGGTATTTTTTTTATTATTGTTATGGAATTTGAATCTGCGTGGAGGAACCGAGGAGCACAATATTGCTGTAATTTTAAATAATTTCCAGCTTTTGTTGTAGCTTGTGGAGTTTGATTTGATGACTCTGTTAATTAGATTCAAATATGAAACCTCTTAAGTGGAGTTGCTGAAGGATCTGTTAGAGATAAGGATTGTAATACTGTCAGTGGTCATTTTTGAACAATATATTCATTTTAAGCTCATGGAGAAACTTGTTACTTATGCATTTCCCATGAACTTTTGAAAGCATTGATTGGTTTTTTGGATGTCGTTGGACTTTATTTTGCCTTAACACAGTTGACACACAGGAGTCTCTCTCAAAATCATAAATTTCAAGCTGTTGGACTTGGTTGGACTTGGAATTATGTGCTTCCAATTTAAAATATATATATACACGTATATTTTACAACTTATCTATGACGCAGCTTCAAGAGTTTGTGTTTTGTCGAATTAAAATTTGTGTTTATTGATTCTTTGGTGATTACTGGTTTTCCATATTTGTGGTTCAGATGGTGCAATCATCGTATGGTAGGTGTCAGTAAATATTTTATTTAATCGGATTAATCAATTAAATATATCAGATTTAATTTAATCTTTTTATTTATTTGATCTTCACGATTAAATTATATTTTTTAGGTAATTTCTAATTTCTAATTATTTTATTTTACCATCTAACATCTTCTTGACTTTTTCAGTAGCAATTTCAATTGGTCAGAGGTAATTAATTCAAATTGAATTTTTAAATTTTAATTTTAATTTTAATTTTCGCTACTAAGATAACCGAAAAATTAATTGGTACCGAAAGGGCGGTTCAAGGGTGCTAATCCTTCCTTCACCGTAACCGACTCCCGAACCCGACACATCTCTGGTAAAACGCAGATCAGGTAAGATGGTTTCCGACCTACCTAAACGTTTTTAAAATGGTCGGTGGCGACTCTAACCCAATTCATTCAAGTCGAAGCCCAATTCCGGGGCCCAACCGAAAGACGGTCGCGACAGCTTGGCGACTCTGCTGGGGACAGGTAAGTGAGTCAGGCCGAAATTAATTTTCGGTTGTCTTTTTATGCGAAAATGGTAAATTTAAATTTATTTATTCGATTCCAGTTATTTACCTTTGATTATTTTTCAAATAAATAGTTGTACTAACATTTTTTAATGATTTTAGATTTTTCAAAGTTTTCATCTCAAGCTCTATACCCGAGCTCCAAACCCTATTTAAGTGGGGGTAAAAGCGACGCCTTCGTGTGAATTTATTCACCGTGCGGGCCTAGCAAGTAGCCTTCGGGATTCATATACCTTATGTCTTCGTGTGGATTTATTCACCGTGCGGGCATAAGGGAATGTGTCCTCTCGAGTTTAACTTAGTTCACACAAGCCTGTGATGGGCTTAGGACTAAGGGTCTGGTAAGCCCAAGGGGGCACCAGCAAGGAGAACTCGAGTACCTTTTTAGAACCTAAACCTGGAGACTTTGAAGGAGTTAGAGCCCACCCCAAAACCTCATTTCAAACCCTAGGATGCCGGAATTATTTCTTGCTTTACTTTCTGTTCAAAGCATGTGAACTAGAAATTTATGCGGTTATGACTTGTTTAAAATCAACTTGCGGGATAGAGATCATGTCCGGGTAGGAATAATAAGCATGTGGGGTAGATATCATGTGGGGTAAGACTTTTCATTTTTATCATTTTTTTATCATCATTATCTCACTAACTTTTTTTTGCTCCTTTCATTTTTATTCTTTGGCATTTTTTTATCATTCGCATCATTAAAACGAGGTATTGATCCACCAAAAATGTGTTTGTTAAACGTAAATAATCTGCATTAATGGACAAAGGGGTTATAATACAAAGAGATAAAAAGCTCAGAAGTCCAACCGTGATCAAAGAATACTCAGAGGCAAAAGTTGTAGGGACAAGACGAGGAAATGGTTACTGACCCGGAGAGTCCTTTCGAAAATTACGAGAACAAGATGGTGAAACCCTAGCTAAGCCGGAGACCATTATTGATTAATTCCAAGAACAGGTCGACAAACTTCGGATTGAGGGCTCCAATGGCACTTTCGTTTGGAACGAGCTCGGCATAGAGTGAAGGCCAGAGATGCAGTCATTCGAGACCTTTTTTGGGGCAAGCAACTCGTTACCCGCACAAGTTTAGCCAAAGGAACTGGAATGGTTCGACAAAATATTCAACCGGTGAAAAAGCGGAAGACGAATCAACTTTCCAGAGGCTGTGCAGGATCTATACCATCAAAAAAGTTTTTTGTCTCTTCAGACGTAACATTTTTGTCCCCAATAAGGATTATTCAGAATAATAGGCACATTTTTCGGATCAATGCCTCGAACATTTCATGCATCATACATTCAGACATATTGTGCATTTTGTTATTTTTTCTTTACATTCGCATTATGATTCCCTTTTTTCATTACATTCACATGTCTCATCAAAAATGAGAACATTCCGATCCTATGACATATAAGGAGCTTTACCAACAGTTGTTTGATGCACACGTGGTGTCCATGAAGCCCCGTACCCCAGGTAGTATGATGAGAACGCTCATTGCGAAAATCATAGCGGAGTCCCAGGGTGCACTATCGAGAATTACTCCACCATCAAGAGAATCATACAGAAAATACGTAACAAGAATCGGATCGACTTCAACAACTTGGGGGCATCCAAGTGAGGCATATCATCTCATCATTTGAGCCATTCTGTTTGGATTTGTTTTTTCATTCTTTTCTCAAGTTTTTGCAAGGACTTTTAAATAAATTTATGTTGCTTTAATGATGGCGAGCAATAAATCACATTTGCAAACTTGCAATTCTTTGAATATCATTTGAATTAAGAAACTCTGTTAATGGTTCAAAGTTACGGATCTTTGACAAAGTAACATGATTTAAAAAAAAGGACTTTGACCTTATCCAAAATATACCCTCAAACACCATACCCTGCTCTTGTAATTAACCAATATACCCTTTTCCTTTCATAAGGTGCGGACAACACGGGGCATCATTTCATATGACAATTACTAAGTTTTTTATTTAAGACGTTCAATGACGATGATGATCTTTACAAATGAAAGAGTCGAGTAGGTGAATCCAGTTTAGGTCAGTTGCTTGAAAATTGAACTCTAAAGATGAGATTCCTTGACTTTCAAAAAACACCTAGGCTATAACAGGTTCTTCTTGACAATCTTAGGAAATTAAATCCGTAAAAACTGAGCTATTCCGCTAAGCCAATTGGTTATAGAGGAAACTTGAAAGCCCTGGCCTTATGAGTAGATTACGTTCAAACCATGACATTGCTTGGACACTAGGCAATTCGGTGTTTGCTCCACTGCTCTTGTCAGGCTGAAGACTCTGTGATGAGATGAACCCTTCAGTTAACTTGATAACTGTGATTATAATATTAAGCTGTCCCTCTAAAGCAATTGGTTAAACGCCCCGGCTTTATGGATTCAACTAGTCAGATAACGACAAATTAAATCAAATTTATCTAAGCAAGAAATTTTCGGTAAAATGGACTAAGGGAGTTAAGGAACACCTGTTATAGTCAACTACACACGAGCACTCAAGAATTTCATTTTTAGACCGATGTTTTTGCACTGCCTTTGTTAGAGGAGCCTGCAAAGCTTGAACAAATAGAAGATTTCAGAGGACTGAAATAAAAGGTCTAGTAAGTCATCATGCTAGTTGTGTCATTTTGTCCGCACCCAATTGAAGTGCCAAAGCATGTTGCGATATTTCAAAAAAAATGACATTTTTTTTTCTTCCAAAACCTTATAAAGGAGGCCAAGCTAAAGCCAACCCATCCATTTGACACTGGTCAAAGAGCTGTAACTCTGAAAACGTTAAAAGAGCTATTGATTCCTTTGATATTCTTTGAACTCACGTTTATAATTTGATTCAATTGCGAATAATATTTTACAGCATTTTTATCGTTTTCTCTCCTGAAACAAGAAAAATGAGAAAAACATTTTCAAACAGAACAATCTCAGATATGAAATGTCTGTAAAGCCCAAGCTCGAGAAGCAAATGGGGCACGATCGATTCCATGGACCAGATTGGCAGACAAAGCACGAAGAGATAACACATAATTCATTCATGTTGCATGCATCTTAGACATACTTAGGTGCGTCACATTCATCATTTTAACATACACGTTTTTGCAGCTTTTAGAGTCAAGTTTTGACTTCAGGATGAAGGATACTCGATTCTCAAGCGCCTTCAAAGAAGGACGGTGGTTGCTTAACTCGGCAGTAAGGAGCTACACCTCAACCGACTTGATATCTCAGAACCAATTTCAGATAGGTTCGAGAACCAGTTCAAAACAAATCCAGTTCGACTCAAACTCATCCATGAGCATCATGTTTCCAGTTAAAACTTTCAAGCCAGATTTCAATTCCACGACGGAAGATATCCGACTCAAAATTTGGTGAAAAGGGCCATCATTTATTTAAAGGAAATTTACAGCACAGCTTAAGTCAAGAAAAGCTGACTGTCAACAAACAACTTCTCAACTTCAGAGTCAATTTCAACTTCAAAGCGAAGGATATTGGACTCAAGACAACGCAAGTTCAACTTCATGACGAAGGGACCGCTGGTTGTCAATAAACAACTTCCCAATTTCAGAGCCAATTTCAACTTCACAGCGAAGGATATTGGACTCAAGACAACCTAAGTTCAACTTCACGACGAAGGGACCGCTGGTTGTTAACAAACAATTTCCCAATTTCGGAGCCAATTTCAACTTCACAGCGAAAGATATTGGACTCCAGACAACGCAAGTTCAACTTCACGACGAAGGGACCGTTGGTTGTCAACAAACAATTTCCCAATTTTGGAGCCAATTTCAACTTCACAGAGAAGGATATTGGACTCTAGACAATGCA